ACCGTATAGAGTGTAAGCCGACCCGAATACCCCAGAGGCACCTAATTTTACCACAAAAACTGTATCTAAAATGTACTGAAAAACTCGGCTTATACTCGAGTATATAAGTTTATTGTTTTCACTACGTTCTCTTTATACTGCTAATCCATTCATTTTTACTAATGTATGAAAATGCCCCGTTGTATGAATATAAAACTAACCCATGGCCATCAGCTCATATATACCGACACACAATTCATTTCCAGTCTGTTGTTCAGGGGGGTGGGTGATGGGATCTAAATTGTGACCCTTTTTGTTGTCGCTATCATGAACACTGTTGCCAACTTCCCTGTCTGTCCATCTCAAGAAAAGCAGCATATACTAGGGCAGTGGTTCTCAACCTTCCTAATGCCGTGACCCTTTCATACAGTTTCACAAGTTGTGGTGAGCCCCCCAACCATAACATTATTTTCATTGCTACTTCATAACTAAGTTTTGCTACGGTTATGAATCGGCGACCCGTGTGAAAAGGTCACTGGACCCCAAAAGGGGGCGTGACCCACAGGCTGAGAACTGCGGCACCAGGGTCTCTCTTAGACACATACCTAGGAGTAGAAATAGCAGAAATCCTTGGGCATGCAAATATTCAAATGTTAATGCAAAAATAATGGCAAATTGGTTTCAAAGCATTATATTAATTTTTACTTGTGTACAATCAATGCATCACTGTAATCTCTTCATACTGATGTGTGAACACTTATTTAACACATCAAAGAAACAAAGTGCATTCTCAAGTTTTTACTTCAAAAGGTCAGAATTTCAGAAGAGATCTCATATGCTAAAAAATGCTAGGAGGCCAGCCAGAGACATGGCTGCCAACCACTAATTATTGCCTGAACCCCAGGGACATTTGAGGACCTGGTATTTCTCCTACTTTGTTTCAGGTATCTACCTCAGTACGGTTCATTACCAATTCCAGCAAACTCACCAAGATACATTTTTCGTTTTTAAAATATATAACGGGGCAAACCTCAATCTACAGTTTTGATAGAGCTGAGAGCAATTCATTTGCACATCTTAATTAAATTTAGTGTCCCTGGGTTGATTAATTGAACAACCTGCTGGGTCTTAAGATGACAAACTTCATGTATTCATATTCAATCAAGAATGTAAGTTAGTCCACAACTGACACCCATCTCACATAAACAAAGGCAAGGCACCTTACAGTGTTGGTGACAATCAATGAGTAGTCTTGATCATCTAGGACCAGTTTACAAAAGCTCCTCCGTTTCCTACTACCAATACAAATTACTCATCAAGCTTACCCAAGGTGGGCTTACCATGTGACCGCAATGCAAGTAACAACTTCTAAAACACGAAAGTACTGATATTAAAGGACGTGTACGGCAGGGCAGTTCTACTCTGTCCAACAGAATTGCTATGAGTCAGAATGGAGTTGGTGGCAGTGACTTTGGGTTGATTTCAGTTTGTTTCTTGGTATGGCAGGACGGGCTTGAAAAGGATTTAACAGAAGAACATGTAATAAGATTGTAGTGTCTGACAATGTTGTATAGGGAGAAAGAGGATTTTAATAAGCATACTACATAGACTATATGGTTATTTCCTATTTGGGGAGTTGATCATGTCACATAGGGTTGTAAGGAGAAACACTGTGCTAATAATTATGATTCAAGAACACTTAAAAGTGTGGGAAATCTATGGCAGTACTCAGAATAAGAAGTATCCTTGTTAGAATTGTATTAAAGGTACTATACTGGCACTATAAGCTGAACTGAGTTCACCCAGAGTCGGCATGTTTGGTAAATTCCTGCAACACCAAGGTACTGCACTGTACAAGGCACAAGAGCTAGCCCCTCATTGACAGGACTTTGAGGGCATACCACACAATCACAAAATATCAGTAATTACAAATAAACCAGTGTAGGGAGAGCTATGTCATGTGACTGTACAGCAGCTACTGAAACAAATTTGCTGCTGTGCATTTAGTCAATACTAATACTGATTATTATATGATGAAATTGTACAGTAATTAAACCAGAAAGTTCAAAATAAAGAGTAT